ACAACCATTTGATATCAGCATTGTCATAAGACCACAACCTTTATCAAACACCGTTTGACCACTTGTATTTCTGAACTCAGTACTCTTCAGATATGGGAAGTGAAAAATAGACCATTGCCTAAATCAGAAAACATCCACAATAAGATCTATGGTAGACTAGACTTCATTATAAAATCAAAGATAAGATTTGTGAATTTTGGAAATATCAATATTTAAGACTTAAAATGCTGTATATTTTAAATTTTACTCAAAATGAAACCCTGTTAACAATTTAATCACAAATACTTACCACCTTCTCTCTTGAGATCGCTCCCAGAACTGTTCAGTGCATCTCTACACAGTGATACATACCCTTCTCACCAGGTAAGATTCATCTGACTCACTTCTTATCAACACAGAGTTTAAGGTCTGCCTTAAGAGCTCTGTATTTCAGTATTTGTGAAAGAGGAACCTAAATATTTAATTTTTAAAAAACCTATACACACAAACATGGTTGTAGGTTACATCTGGAAAACTGTATCATTACACATCCTGTTGACAAGAGGCCTGTCCACTCTCTTGACATGCACTCTGGGGTGTCAGGAGACATTCTTCCAGCAGCCTCAGACCACAGGGACAGACAGGCGAGACAGGCTCTCAGGAATGGTGGCAATCTTGCCCCTTGCTCCTCTTCTTTGCCACCGTAATATCTGGCCAGCCAGGTTGCTCCTTCATTATTACCAAGTCTATTTCACCAGAGAATGTACCCAGGGCTGGCCTTTGAACCTACTACGTCTTCCAGCCTCCAGCTCTAGAGAGCTAGATTTACAGGCAGGGACGCACAGCTGGCTGTTCTGGCAGAGGCTCTGGTGTGGGCCCGGCTTTACTTCCTCCTCCTCTTTGTCACTGGCAATTTATCTATGGCTCCTCTACCTTTTCTCTCCTCTTTCCACCCTCATCTCATCTTTTTAATGAACTGACTACAGAAATATGATTCTCAAAGTCTACACATTGCTTTCAAAGACCACAGAAGAGATGACTCTGCCGTGAACTTGACAAGAGCTTACATCAGGGTTCTGGCTTCTGGGTTCTGATGTTGGACTTGCCCTTCCCTAGTCAACTGAGATGAAGTTACAGAATAAAAGGATTTTATACACCAGGAAGACTCACATCCCCAAGAAGTTAGTCTAAAATGTTCCTTTAGGATGAACACAGTGTATTATCATATGATAAAAATATTTAACAACAAATAAAAGGAAAATAGTAGGAAATACATAGGGAGACACCATTTGACATTAATTCATTTACAGTCATTGAATAAATGAGTCCCTACATAGACAAGAAATGTATGTCTTGAATGACCTTAACAATTAGAGAAGAAAATTTTTCTATACTATAGTTCTGGCAGTTCTATGGAACAGGCAGCTACATATTGATTTTTCTACCCTGACTATTAGTTAGTTAAAATGTATCTTTTGTTTTTGTTTATTATCATTAATGTATTTGTAGATCTTATTATAGTTTTACATAGTTATATAAGTAATCTACTATATTATTACCTATATATTATAAGGAAGTATTTTTATAATATATAAGATACCTTAGTTTTATTTTCCCTTGATTTTTCTCAAACTAGCACAAACAGCAGCAGGTTTTATTTCAGTATTTTCTTGCACACTTTATTTGGGTTCATCCTCCTTCCAAATTCTTTCCCCTATCCCTATACTCCTGTACCCCTGTATCCCTGTGCCCTTGTATCCCTGTACCCCTGTACCTCTGTACCCTTGTATCCCTATATCCCTGTACCCCTGTATCCCTGTACCCCTGTACCTCTATACCCCTGTACCCCTGTACCTCTATACTCCTGTACCCCTGTACCTCTATACCCCTGTATCCCTGTACCTCTATACCCCTGTATACATGTACCTCTATACCCCTGTATCCTTGTACCCCTGTACCCTTGTATCTCTGTACCCTTGTACCTCTGTATCCCTGTTCCCTTCTGCACTTTTATGTCACATATATTCTATTACCCTTCCAACTCCCTTTCGTTAAAACTCTTTTTTTTCCCTCATGGTCCCTTTTGAGTTCATGGACTCTACCCACACTCATACCCACACAAATACACAAATGTAAAAATTAAAAGTTAGGATTTGCCCATGGCAGAGAACATGCGGTTTATCTTTCTGAGCCTGGGTTATCTCACTTAATATAATAAATTTCAATCACACTAATTTTCCTGTAAATTTCATTTCTCTTTATTGCTGAGTAAAATTTCATTGTATTTATGTACTACATTTCATTATCCATTTATCGATTGATGACTATGTGGGCTGGCTCTATATCCTTGCTATTGTGAATAGAGCGAGAACTATGGATGTTTGTGGAAGTATCCTTGTGGTTATTTGGGTATATATCTAGCAGTGGTAGGGTGTGTGTGTGTGTGTGTGTGTGTGTGTGTGTGTGTGTGTGTAAGTGTGCTTACCCATATATGCACAAGTAAAGGGTAGAGTTTAATGCAAGGTGTCTTCCTCTATCTTTAACCATCTTATTATTGAGACGGGGTCTCTCATAGGCAGGGTCTCTATGAACTTAGAGCTGACCATTTTGACTCGACTGGCTGGCTATTGCCTCTCTCGGCCCATCACTGAGTAGGGATAACAGGTATGTGAACATACCATGTTGGAATGGTGGGCATGTGCCACCATTCCCAGAACATGAATGCTGTACATCTGAACTGGGTCCACATGCTTGCACTGAATCATCTCCCTAGGCCTAGATCTCTGTAGCTTTCTGCCAGGTTGTAAGTTAAGGGGTGTGTTTGACTTTGAGTTTATTTTTGTGCAAGGTGAGAGAAATGGAGCTAATTTTATTCTATTGGTGGATATAAAGTTAGCAAGTGCCATTTATTGAACTGGCTATATCTTCCCAGTGTTTGCGGTTGACATTTTTGTGAAAAATGAGGTGACTAAAACTGTGTAGGTTGATTTCTGGTCCTCTATTATGTTTCATTCATCATTATGTCTGGTATTGTACCCGTACCATGTTGTCTTTTTATGATAGTTCTGTAGTGTCATCTGAGGTCAGATATTGTAAGTAGGTTGCTGTGTAGGGACATTAGTTGGCTTTCCTTTAGAGAAATACCACCAAGTCTTATTTTCTCCAATGCTTTTATTTCTTTACTGGTGGCTTCATATTTTGGATTTCTTCCATCCAATTTCATGATCCACAGACACAGCATCTAATCTGATGTCTTGCAGTCCTCACTTCATTTTCTGATTCATGAGCTAATATATCATATAAATCATGCTTCTCTGTTTCCTAATAATTCAACATGTATTTTATATTAACATAAACTTGCTATTTATTATCAACAGCACAACTACTAAGTCAAAATGCACCACTTACACAATTTTTAAACTAATCTATTTCTACTTCAAACTTTGCACTTATGATCTTCTCTGCAGGGTTCCAATAAGAACCCAGGGTGTATAGTCATCCTGTTCTTCAATATAAAAGAATCCCTCTGCTGTAGCTTATCTTCTCCATGACACTAGTCTTTTGAGTGAACACACATCAATGGCTTTATAAACCACGTCTTCCCTTTGATTTCCTGCTAGTTCCTCATGATAAGACTGACTCCCTTTGTCCTGATCGTGTGTCATTTTCTGTAGCTCTTCTACACTCTCTGTCCCTGAACCCTTCCCTGGGGACATTTGCTTTAATCACCTAGCCAGAGAGTTGCTTTTTCTCCTTTTTATAGTTATAGCTCCTCAGAACTATAAAGACACAGTGATTGAAGTCACTTTAAGCCCATCAATCATTTTCCTTTAGATTCAGTAACACTGATTAACCATGTGCACACACACACACACACACACACACACACACACACACACACACACCAAAAAGCAAAACCAAACAAACAACAAAATAAAACAAAATCTTCACCATGGAGATGAAGAAGAGAGCAGAGATTTCCCAAATTGACTTCATCTTCTACAATGATAGGTTAATATTCTGCAAAAACAAAACAGAAACAAGCAAACAAAAACCCCAGCCTCCCCCGAAAAAAACCAGAAAACAGTTCCTTAGTCTTTTGTTTTTCTCTTTATTTATAGAGCCACCAACATACCTAAGAGTTCACATTCTTTTCCAATGAGTTTTCTTTATTATTTTTAATTATACTTTCTCATTTTTTTTGGTGACAATTCCCTCCCCCCTTTTTTTACTTAGCTTTAAATCTATAATGGATGACAATTACATCTTATATTTGTTAATCATTCCAGATTTTTGCAGTATTTCATTATAACTAATTTGATGGAAATTTTACTAAAGACCTCTTTTCAAAAGCAAGCAAACAAACAAAAAGATGCAAACTTTAGTGCAACAAAATTAGGAACTTATGGAAACATCTTAGTGCATGATTTCTAGGTTCTTCATGGCCCAGCATCCATTGCTGTGACAAATTTCCATAAACAGGCAAAGGAGGAAAGGCTCATGTGGACCCACGGCATCAGAGGTTTCAATGCAGGGTCATTTGACTCGGTTACTTCTGGTGGGAACACCACAGTGGAGGACATGTAGTAAAGAAAGACGCAGGACAGAAAGGGAAGGGAGGAAAGGGTAGAGAAGGGGCTAGAGAGGACAAGGAATGGAGCACAAACATGTAAGAGACATGGGTGGCCCTTCAACATGTGCACCTTTTTGATGGATACTTCAGATCCAAACTATAACAGACTTTAAATTAGAAACCAGTTTTCTTTTGTTCTTGTATATGTGTATGTATGTATGCACAGTGTGTTTGTGTGTGTGTGTGTGTGTGTGTGTGTGTGTGTGTGTGTGTGTATTTTTGTTCTTGTATATGTGTATGTATGTATGCACAGTGTGTTTGTGTGTGTGTGTGTGTGTGTGTGTGTGTGTGTGTGTGTGCACATGTATATAAATGTATGGTGTGTTTTGTGTGAATGTGTGTGTGGATGTGTTCATGGGATGTGTGTATGTATGTATGTGCATGCCATGTGAAGGCCATGGATAGACATCAGATATCTCTCTCTCATTTGCTCTCTACCTTATATATTGAGTCAGGGTCTTGAATTTTTATCCAGAATTTACAGATTCAGCGAGTGCAGCCAGTCAGATGCTATGGGGAGCCCCAGTGTCAGCCTCCTTTGCTCAGGATTGTAGGTGAGCTGCCAAACCCACCCTTCAGTTATGTGGATGCTGGAGATCCAAAGTTGGGTTCTTAAGTGTATATAGCACATACCTTTACCTGTGGAGCCTTCTCCCCTGTCCCTAGAAATAAATATATTAAGATTCAATACCAATTGTCAATAAGCAGTGCACTCATGTTTCAGTTCACAGGAATATTAATAGCACTCAGAAAACTATCTCAGAATATAGCCATTTGTAATTGTTGTATTCATTTTGTCAAGTTCTTTGGTGTTAAAAGTAAAACAAATATTTGTGTGTATATTGACTTAACAATATGTGTATCATATTGCAAATTGCATTGCATGAGATTATATTATTCTAAATTCTTAATAGTCATACAAACATGTGTGAGATTTTGTATATAAACTTGAATACATAAAATGTATTTATTCATGAGAAGAAACACAAGAGCATGGCGGCTCTAAGGCACCATAAAGTAAGCTATATTCTTTGTTTTAATTATTTGTGTAACTCATCACTTAAATCATAGAATAGATTATGAATTCTGAATCATCCTTGTCTTTTAAAAAATTTAGATTATTTTTGGAAGAAAGTTAAATTTCTCCTATTCAAATAGGCATTATATTTATTCAGTCTTCTTAAGATATTGAATCTAATATTAAATTTAATTTTTATTAATGCCAACATGTTGATTCAGGACTTAGGTTAATAATTTATGAGAAACTCAAAGAGAATTGTATAATGGATTTAAAATGAAACCTAAAAAACAATCATAAATTATAAAATTTATGTAGTAAGTTCACATATGCCAGAATAAAAACAAACCTGGTGTGGTAGCACAGGGCTGGAATGTCAGAATTTGACAGGATGAGGGCAGAGAGAACAAAAATGTGAGGCAAACCTGGAATAACCTTCCTTTATAAACAATAAACAAAAATTTAAAAAGCTATAAAACCATGGGCATAATTAAACAGAATAACTAGTCAAGAGTCAAGACCTTCATAATGACCTACAAGACAGATAAAGCATTCACGGCATCCATCCTGAAGAACAGTCTCTCCAGACATAATTAATACAATTGTGTGATTTAATGGAAGTGAACGAGAAAACTTATGATTTGATAATGCTTAGCTCATACTACATAGTGGTAATGTATGATACTTTGTATTACATTCTTGTATGTATATGTCAGTGCATAGGAATGTCAAAGGCAAGCTTGTAGGAGGAGTCGGTCTCTCCTTCTTACCGAATGCTTCCTTGAGACTGAAATCAGATCTTCAGGGCTGCACCTGCTAAGCCACCTCACTGGTTCCTGTACAATCTTTTTAGTTAGCTTCTAGTCTGTTTCATGATTCCATTGAAGCAAGGGCTTTAGTGGACTTAAAAAAAATAAGATCCATCATAGTTCTCTTACCCACAAGAGAAACTTCCTTGACTTTCTTGAACTAGTTACACTGCCTGTGCATCAACAGATCTCACAGCAGTCCTTCCATGCTGAGCATCCCCGTGCCATAGACTCTAAAGCTGCAGTCAAAAGGATTGTGGTCTTTTCAGCAGGTTTCCTGCTGGATGGAAGCAGGCAGGAGAGATGGCTTACAATGAGAAAACTCCTCGCTTGAAAACATGAGTCTTTAGTGACTAGTGGTTGAGAATGGATATACAGCCAATACACTAAAGCTAAATCAGCATTTGCCAAACAACTAATTTCTAAAGCTAGCTGAGTCTGACAATTTATCTTCCAAAACAACAACAACAACAACAAAAATGAAATTCTAACAACTGTTCAGTCAGCGGTCACATGAAAAAACAAAACAGAAAATCTGTTTAGAAGATTCTTTAAAAGAAGAACTGTATGTCTTATGCATGTGTATTTGTTCTCCACTCAAGTAAATTGATGTTAATAAAATTAATATATTCCTAGTAGAATAAAATAGTAAAGATAGCTGGCACAAGTTATTGCTTATTCTAAAGGCAGGCTTGGGATAATCTTTCCTGCCTTGTTTACTATGGTGTTTGTTTGCAAAATACATCCTCATATACCATGAAAGCCCATGTTTATTGCATTTGATTTATTCCTGTTTTATAAATGCATATTCTGTGTTGAAGGAAAGATATCCAACTGACCCTGTTAAGAAACCGAATGTCACATTTTTTAAAGTTCTTGACAACAGACTCATTAAAGCTCCTTTAAAATGTGGAAAAGGAAGTGCTGAGAAAGATAAACCCACTAGGCTGATGAATTTGCAATTCATTAAAAAAGGGCAAAGTCAAGATGTGTCAGATTTAACAAAGCTGATGCTGGGGGTCCCATTTCGAATATAAAAGATGAAAGGCAGGCAATCCACTTTACCCTGGCAGTGCCATGAAAGTCCTGGGTTCTATTGCTTCATCAGGTAACTACAAAGTACTTTCCTCCCAGGAAACCGTGTGTGTGTGTGTGTGTGTGTGTGTGTGTGTGTGTGTGTGTGTGTGTGTGTGTATTCTGAATATGTAATGAGAAAGGTTTGTTTATAATAAAGGACATCTAAAAACTGATGCTCAGTGTTAACACAACTAGACAACTAGTAACACATGACCCCAAACACTAATATACTTAAGCAGAAGTCAAGAAGTGGAGAATGTGCATCACTCGTATGAATGTGACGTATTTCTCTATCAATCTTTTCTAACTTCTTCTTCTTCTTTAGTGGTTTCAATGCACATTCTGACGATCCTATCATTTCTTAATTGTGTCAATATTTCAAGATTCTGAACCACATCATAATATACAGAACTAAGTGATTCACCAGAGTTTTCATACCCCTTCTAACAAAGAATTATCTTCACAAATCTCTTTATTCAATTAAAGAGCTAGACATATCTGTGAGTTGCTCGGTTAATTTTTATTGTCAAAGGAAGGCTGAAATAGTTAGGAAAGTATTCGTTAAAATTGTGGGCCAAAGTGCCCTCAGTCCACTTAACAAAATGAGCCACACGAATTGAACAACGGATGCCATGTCCGAAGTTTGCTTCATTAGAGACAGTCTAGGAAACAGATGGGAAAGCTGTAAAAAGGTCTCAGATTGCTTTGGTGGACAGATTGACTTTGAAGACTTCACTGTGTTCTTTTTTTTTTTTTTTTATCTGTAAGCCACTCATAGCACAAGAAAACAAGTTTGCTGTGCAAACTTTAACCAGATACTAGCCACAATGGAGGAACTTCAACACATTTAGATGTGTGGTCCAGATAATTCCCTTCAATGTTCAGGTAATTGCCTAAAGCTTCCTTAAGTCTGTGGAGAGACTTTACCCTCTTCTTCGCCTCATCTCTTCCTTTCTTTCTTCTATAATCCTCCCTTCCCTGCTCTGATCTTTTTGTCTGTCTCCAGATCAACCTATTTAAGTCTCCCTCTATTATCCTAAATTTCCACCTCCCTTTTGAAAAGACCGTCCCGCCCTGGCAAATCCCTAATGCTTCCTTGTCAAGTCCTCCACTTAAGCAGTTAGTGTTTTCAAGAGCAAAGAAGGTGGGGGTGGGTTCTTGGCTCTAATGGAGAAGTTATTAAGATGTTTCTAGAAAAAGAATGGATGAGCATAGATTCTAATGAAAAGTTGTGAGTCCATATGTGGCTATATGAAGTAAGCCATATTAACTGGCCAAGGAAAATATAATTATCTGTAAACCTAAAACATTTACCTTATCTCTGTCAAAATATCAAAATGAGTAACTGTGGATAATATTCACAAACCAAAATCAAATATGATGTCCTTCACATTTAAGTTTCTTGAAATGGCCTGGAGAGATGGCTCAGAGGTTAAGAACACTGACTGCTCTTCCAGAGGCCCTCAGTTCAATTCCCAGTAACCACATGGTGGCTCACAACCATTTGTAATGAGATCTGGCACCCTCTTCTGTATACATAATAAATAAATAAATCCTTAAAAAAAAGAAATGTATTATAATTAATTCAGGAAAGCGAAACCCTTTGATCTTTATGTTCCAAACCCAAACCCATAGGAAGCACAAGATAAAGTCTGTCCCTTCTGGTAAATGAAAATGCATTTTAATCTGACTGAACAATTCTCTCTTGATAAAGAGGTAGTTGGTCTGTCTTCCTAAGAGCTAGTGATTGTGTGTGTGCGTATTCTTGTGGTTTGGTTTCAGATAACACATATCTGACTGTCGTCAACAAATAGTTTACCATTAAACCCACAAGGGTAGATTCATCTATGTGTGATATCATTCATTCAAAAACTACAGAGTACAGATCTCGGTTAAACACAAATCAAACCTACTATTCAAAAATATTAAACTCCATAATGGAGTTATAAGGCCCATTCAGAGGTAATTATAATGGGAGATAGGAAATGGCACTCACCCCGGGAAGGATTGATGACCATGGACGTACATGGGAGGACAGATCACAGTTAGAAGGCCTCTTGAGAGATTGCATTCAAATGGGATTGTGTTTGAATGGGTAGGATTTAAACACAAATGTGGGGACATCTTGCTGTGAGCCATCAAAGTAAGGACCCTTACCTGGAAATCATGATCTGTACTAGAAATCAAGTAGCTACGTTGTTTAGTTGATACACAGAGTGATAGAAAGTAGATAGTGAAAGACAACATTGTGTGAGTAATCCCTGACGTGATGGGTGGGGGAGTCTTCAGAGCAGGGTGCAGTTTGAATAAATTCAATGGATAATATAAAAATACCAAAAGCTTGTGAGAAGCCATGCATTCTCAAACTGTTTCCAACAAATGGGTTTAAGGATTATTTACTTAACAAGTGATGTTTGGACAAAGGGAGACCCAATGTAAAACAGAAGAATAAAATCGTATGCAAAATATTAGTTCAAGGTAATAATGAATATATTTGTAGGGGGATACAATTTTAACATCTCCAGAAGAAAACAAGAGAAAAATTTTATAACCTTATTAAGCAAATAATCGTTAGGAAATAAAATTCATGATAACTAAAAATTTTAGTTGATAAATGACATGATCTATACTTTAAAGTTGAAATGTATTGTTAAAGGTAAAATAAAAAGGGAAATCATGGAATTAAAGAAAATATTTTCAAATCCATAATAATAGCTTGCTCTTGTATTGTTAAAGGTAAAATAAAAAGGGAAATCATGGAATTAAAGAAAATATTTTCAAATACATAATAATAGCTTGCTCTTACAACTCAGTAAGACCCACAAACAAATAATTTTCCTAAAAAGAAGTGATTGAAATAGACATTTATACACTAACAGCTAGCAAGCTAAAGAAAAGACTTTTGTTCTCATTAGTCATTAGGGGAAACCTAATTGGATGTAACATCATAATAAAATGGCTGTAATTAAAAAAAAAACCTAACATTAGTAAGGATGTGAATTAGAGCTTAATATCTCCCCATCCTATCTCTTCCTCTCCCCCTTTCTTCCCCCCTCTGGTGTGTGTGAGTGTGTGTGTGTGTGTGTGTGTGTGTGTGTGTGTGTGTGCGTGCGTGTGTGTGTGTGTGTGTGTGTGTAAGTCTGAACACAACTTGTAAGAGTTGATTTTCCCCTCCCGCCATATGAGTGTCAGGGATTGAAGTCAGGGGATAATGCTTGGTAGCAAGTTCCTTTCTCCCTTTACCCCATGAGCCATATGACTGGCCCCAAACTAGATGTTTTTCTTTTAATTTTTTGAGAAATTCATATATGGGTACACTTTATTGACACCATTTCCACCTCTCACCTCAATCTCCTTCCCCTACTCTCTCTCAGATTCATGACCTCCTTTGCATAATTGTTAGTGTTATACATTCATAGCTGAGTTTATTTAGAGTTGCTCATGTGTACATGGGTTTAGGGCTAACTGCTTGGGACTGGAAAATTTGTGTAGACCCAATTAGCACATTTACAATACAACCCTATACCAAAGGTTCAGGGAACATTTCAGAAGAAGCAGGGGAAAGAATGTAAGAGCAGAGAACCTGGATTCCTGCTGTACGATAACATCTTCTAGACATGACATGGAGCAGCACCCATGAAATCTCAACAATATAGTTGCCTAAACCAGACTCATACAATAGCCACACCAGTCCACATGCCACCAGGGATAGGGGAACTCACAAGTCCCCATCCCTAGATGATACAAGGACTCTTACAACATGGTTGGAATGTATAGAAAGAGTTGCAACCACTTTGCATGTCTGGCAGTACTCAGATATTTAACTATAAGTTACCACACAACCCAGCAATTACACTTCTAAGCACATTCACAATAAAAATAAAAATACATGTCTACACAAAAACTTGTAAATGTATTTTTCACAGTAGTATAACTCATAACAGACTTAAACTGAAAATAGCCCCAATGTTTAACTTTCAGATAGATTAAAAACTGTAATAATTGCAGAGAACAGAACACTAAACCCTAAATACATTCTACAAAGGACTAAATCTCAAGATAATATGATAAATGAAAAACACAAAGCTGAATGCCTATAAATGGTATAATACCACTTTATATTAAATGTACAAAACAGTCAAATATCTCAATCATCAATATTAATGTTTAGTAGGGGTTGGAGGGAAGAGGAATAATCAAATACATATATTTCTGAGAAGTCTATGTCACTTAATGTCCTAATAGTACAGTATTAAAACCAAAAAAATAATATCAAAGCCTCAAAACACAGAGCCATATGCTTCTGGATAAATATTGTGCTCAGAATATAAGCCCAAACAAACAATGGCAAGTTTAGCTACACTTTTGGCAGCAGGGGTAGAATGGAGAGACACAAGCCATACAAAAAGATGGGCGACAAGGGAAGGGAACTAATGAATGGACACTGCAGCTTAAACTTACATGCTCGGTGTCAAGACAGGATAATGCAGCTGCTACTAAAGCTTATTATAGACAGAAACAAAGGCAGATGAAAGCAACATCACCGTGGTTTTAGCTGTGTAATTATGAAGCAGATAGGACTTGAGAAAGAACTAAACTCAGAGATGAATGACCCACACTTCCTATAATGACTGCACTCTGGGCATACAGGATTATATGGTCTAATATGATATGCTGGTGCTTCCTAGGTCATTTCAGGACAACACAGTTGAAGAAACAATGTAACAAGAAGAATCAAGTCATTGTTTCCCCTACAGTGAGAGGATTCACAATGTGATACTACTACTAGCTAACTTCTTAGGATACCATGTGTTTATATCGGATCTCTGTGACATAGCAAATTTAGACAGAAGGGGTAGGGGGATATCTCGAGTTTGATAACAAGACACATTTCCCAGTTGTAACACAAATTGCTAAATGGTCTTAAAAATTAAAAAAAAAACCTGGAGCCAGATATTGGGGTTAAAACTGAGAGAACAGAGGAATAAGACAAGCCACTGCTAACCTCACCTCACCAACTCCTCAGCTCCCAGAGAGACCTACTTCCTGTACATCCACGCCTATATGCCTTTCTGTTCTGCCATCTCACTTCCTCTCTCCGCCCAGCTACATCACTTCCTGTCTGTCTGTACAGACCTCCAGACCTTTATGGTTAACAAGTGTTGGAATTTTAGGTGTGTGCCACCATGCCTGGCTCTGTTCCCAGTGTGGCCTTGAACTCACAGAGATCTGGATGGATCTCTGCCTCCTGAGTGCTAGGATTAAAGATGTGTGTGCTACCACTGTCTTGCCTCTATGTTTACTGCAGTGGCTGGCTTTTTCCTCTGATCCTCAGCTAAGCTTTATTAGGGTGCACAATATATTGGGGGACACAATATATCACCACATCCAGTAGCCCATTCCCTAGGTGTACTGGAGAGATGAGACCTTGTCTCCTCCTGATCCAATTTGCTTACCTTGTAAGGAAAGCACTGCATTCATTTAGAGTTGGGCTAAACAGCAAGATGTTGGGGACTTGTGTTTATCATCAAAGTGGAGAGGGATGCACAGCCACTGTTCTTTCCTGACAGTCTCTCTAGGCCATTGTCATCCCTCCCGTCACCACCGCCTCTCCTCTGGCTAGTTCAGCCTCCACCCATTTGTTCACTCAAACTTGTCTTCCATTTGTCTTTTACACGCTCCCGTCTGGCTCAGTGCTCCTCACTCAGGTCTTCAGCAGACACTGAATGAAGCTGACAAGCAGTGGGTGCCATTCTGTAGACTAGGAAAACAGCGCCAAACAACACAAGAAAGTCCCGTGCCTGCAGGGAGTTTGCTAAATATTAACTCGAACAATACATGGCAAAAGCTATGGGCCGAGTTCTTTATTGTCTGTATCTAAGCCTATCCACAGCATTATCTCTTCAGATAGCTCTTTGAATGGATGCTATGTCTTGTTGGGAAAGTCGTCATCAGGGGGATCAGGGTTGACGGTTTCATATTTAGCTTTGTAATTGAGTGGGGGAAACTGTTGAAGAGCATGCTTTCTGTTTGGAGGGGATCATTCTGATCACAGCTTGCTCAGTGAATGGAAATAGTGCAGATGTGGAAATTTTACTAGTGAAAGCACACGTTCACTAGCTTCAGTGGGGTAAGGAATACTTTGGGAACATTTTTCTTTCTTTATTTTTTCGGTGTTGTTTTGTTTACCCCAGAATCATAAGGTTTTTCTGTACTACTTACTGTCCTCTAAGCTAAATGTTCATATTTGTTATTATTTTGTAGCCTGGCATCTTGGCATACAGACCTACAACAGTTTCTGTTCTACGGAGACCCACTTAAATCAGCCATATGAAACTCATCAGAAAAGAAAAAAAATTAAAGGAAACAAAAGCACCTTTCCATTTTTCATTCACAGCTCTGTAGGCCAGGCCCAGAAGTTATTTGTATTTGTGTTGTACAATTACATCTTCGTGTTTTGGAAAACCTTCGTTTTGTCTTTGGGAAATAGAAATGGTTAAGAGCCACCCTGCTGAGTTTTGGTCAATTCTGTAGGAAATTAAAATATTGGATTCACAGAAAACAAATCACAAATATCAAGCACTTTGCGATTGTTTCTGTACAAACAGCATAAAACTCTGCCCTGGCATAAGTTCTTTAACTAGTTGAACTGAGGTCTCTCTACCTTTGCCTAGCAGGAAACAAACATTTCAGTTGAGGTGACATTGTCACTATTGACCACCATTCTCACTCCTTAAAGGAGAAACACGGATTTTGGCTACACACTTCCAGAATGGAAAGTACACATTTATGTATTTTCAAATACTGTGGAATTTCAGTGTAATAAACACAGATTATAGAGCTCTGACAATAGTAGCACAAGGAAATAAATATATCCCAAAGAGCTGGATTTGACAATTAGATTTGCCAGTGGTTTTACAACCTTACACAAGATAGTGACATCTCTGATCCTTTGTTTTTGTACCTGGAAAACTAACATAATAATGCTTATCTTCCAGTAATGTTGTTTGTGTCTAACACATGAGACATCTTACAAAGTTGTGAGCACTGGACACAACCATTCATCAATTATATGTGACAAATATTTCCCCTCTCAAAGCTAGTACGTACTTTCCTCTTTGGACAACAGCAAAAGAAGAGACATAAAACACTTTCTATTTTTTCCTAAGCTCAATCTCAACTGTGTACTACCTTTTTCAAATTTTGTATTTATTTTTTTATGTGTATGGGTGTTTAATCTGCATGTACATCGTACACTGTGTTTGTGTGTGTGTGTGTGTGTGTGTGTGTGTGTGTGTGTGTGTGTGTGTGTGTGTCTGATGCCCATAGAGGCCAGAGGAGGACATTGAACCTCCTGGAACTGGAGTTAGAGACAGTTGTGAACTGTCATGTGAATACTGTGAATTGAATCCAGGGCTTCTGGAAAAACATCCATTTTTCTTAACTATTGAGCCATCTCTTCACATCCAATTAACTGTATTTTCAATTTGTTTCTATCAGTGAACATTTATATTAGTCATGTCTCCTGTTCTTATCTTTAATTCATTTTTTTTTAATTTGATACAGTGGGGTTTATTTGACTTGAAAAAAATTTCACTTTACTCCATTTCATGTCATTCAAGTCACAAAAAGAATATTTATTTATTATAGAATGTGAATACACAATCTAGAGATGAGTAACTATGGACTAAACTTTGACATCTCACCTCTTCTAATCATGGCCCCGCAGTACAGCCAGAGGTGCATGTTCCTTGTGGAGAGATACATTTTTTTCTGAAAAGAAATGGTTTAAAACACGTTATCTCTTGCTTAAACTTAACATTTAAGGTTATTTTGTATAAATGCATCTTTTTCCACTTCCTTCTAGGATTGTCTCTTCCTTTCATCAGCAGCTATGGTGTGCGTGCGTGCGTGCGTGCGTGCGTGCGCATGTGTAAATGTTCATGAAAGAGCTAGTCTCATATATTTTCCAGAGGAAGATTGGCCAATCAATTTTTTTAGGTGTGAGTTTAAAAAGTAGATCACAGGACAAACAACAGAAACAAACAAACCTTTGACAATCAACCAATGTAGTTAGAATGCTGGGCTTATTCTTTATACCAACTCTTGATCATATAACATTCTTCTCTTGTATACTTGCCTTCTTAGTCTAGATATTTCTTGAAGTTAGTGATAACCTTCAATTCATACTCTTATCTTTAGAGGTAGATAGTAGATATATAGGAGCCTTTAGAAAAAGTAACTTAGGTAATGGCTAAGAGCCTTAACTTCTCAAGTTAAAGAGATTTAGTTTCAAATTCTGTGTCTGAAGCTGGCTAAGTGGGTCAGTGGGTAAAACACTTGCTAAGCAATCATGAGCACCTGAGTTCAGACCCCAAGCGTTCATATAAAAAGCCAGAAAGAGCCATGTGCATTTGTACTTTCTAGGCTGGAGAAGCAAGGCTAGCCAGTAGGTTCAATGAGGGACCATGTCTCAAAAACAAACAAGCCAACAAGAAAAACAGGAGGAACCATTTAGGAAGACAACCAGTGTTGACCTCCAGCTTCCATTTGCATGCAACCACATGTGAATGAGCCACACACTTAAATTCTCTTTCTTCCTACTTGTAGACAAGTTTCTAAATGGTCTTACTAAATATAAAAACATGGAGCCAAATATAGGGCTGACAGCCCTAGAGAGATCAGGGAAATAGGGAAAGCCACCAGCCAACCTTACCTCACCCACTCTGTAGCTTTCAAGAGAGTGACTTCCTGTCTACCCAGGCTTATATGCCTTGCTTTTCTGCCAGTTGATTTGCTCTCTGTCTAGCCACATCACTTCCTTTTCCCTGCCAGCTCTGTCACTTTCTGTCTGTACAGGCCTCCAGAACTCTGGTTGGTACTGGTATTAAAGGTGTGTGTCACCATGCTTAGCTCTATTTCCTAGTGTGGACTTGAATACACAGAGACCCTGCCTGCTAAGTGATAGGATTAAGGGCGTGTGCTACCACTGTCTGACTTCTTTGTTTACTTAAAGTGACTTGCTATTTCCTCTGATCTCCAGGCAAACGTTATTTATTAAAGCACAAATAAAATATCACCACATTTCAGCACAAGTAAAATATCACCATACCTACTAATAGGCAAATTATGTAACCTGTTTATTACCTATGTCAAAAATGAGAATAAGAGCATTTGTGTAATTACTATAAAGATTTATTGAAATCACATTACTGGGCTCAAGAATGGTCAGATTTATGATTGAAAATGAAAAGACTATAAGGGAGGAATCTTAGAGATCTTAAGAATTGAGGGGATCGTTTGGAATTTTCTACCTCCTTTCTAAGGCTTCCCTGTCCTTGACCCTTGTCATTTTCCAGGGCCTTGCCACTTCCTGTGTCTGGGGGATTTGTCTTTTGAGACAGTTTAAATCCTTTACTAATTTCTTTAAAAAAAAGTCTTTATCTTACACCTTATTTTTTGCCATTTGTAATTATGCTCTTACATTTAAAAGTAGTCAAGAGTAGTAAATGAAAAAATCCTTTTAAATGTAGCTAAGAAATAAACCAATTGGGGTTGACTCTTGGTCCATTGCCAGGGGTACATGTGGCCTGAAACCATCCTTGAGCTGGGAACCATACTGAGGGCAAAGCAGCTCCCCCTCGCCTGGGAAACCCTGGGGAGATAATAGAACCCGTATAAAGAGGCTTATCTCACTGAAAAACATGAAAGAAGTGAACAGTTTAGGAATAAAAGGTTATCAATGACAGACAGAGTGATTCGGAGGAAAAGACAGTCCTTTGAAAGATCTGCGTGCAGCTCCTCATGCTGACAAGTATGTAATGCTCCCTACCTGGACAGCTGTTACAGTTAATGTTACATACAGAATGTGACTAGTAGGTAGGTCACTGGCAATCAAGGACCATCCGCAAAATTTAAATCATATATATTCAGATACTAATATGCAGTTCTAAAATATTCAACAGCCTTCTTGTGGAATTAAGAACATAGAGCATGGCAGGCCAAATGGACACCTCTGTCCCTGCTTCCTGGAAGGACCTAACACAGACGGTTAAATTTCATTTAGAAGGAAGGACACATTATGAGATGCTTTATAGTCAGTGGAAATTCCAGGAACAAAGTGGTATGGTGGCAAAGAAGTTAAACGAAATCAGTAAAAAGATGCCTAATCAGCAAAGGAGCTTTGTCAAAGAAGAGAGCAAAGAGGAGACAGAGTTAAGAGACGGATGGGGCAAGAAGAAAACCGACTTGGTAAGCCCCTAGATAAGGAGGAAGAAAGGGATGCCATGTGCTTGAAAGATGAGTGATAGCATTGTCTTCGTTCTGAAGGAGAAGCCTTCTTCCGAATGACATTAAGTTGCTCTTACTGAATCTCTCCTTTTTCCTCTGTAAGTAATAAAATAATCCTGAAGAATTCCAGGCAACTAGAAAGCAGCCCTAGACCCAGTGCTGGATCTACGTTCATGCAACATTTACACCAAGTTCTTTATGAAAAGTCATATAAAAATCCATTCAGTATCATTATTTGTCACTGCAACATTAATGATTTGGCCAAGAGTTCTGTTCAAATGATTACTAGTGTTTGATTCCAACGTTTCACTCTGTATTTAATTACCAACTCTCATGAATGTCACTCAGAGTCTAGACAGGATTATATATACTGACTGACTAGCTGTTTGTCTTACTTGTGTGTGTTCGTTTTTGTTTGACAGGTCCTCACATTTATTCAGAATGATTGGGTGGGTGGGGGGAGAAGAAAATAAATGAAAAAAAAAAGGATGAAATTTAATGTATAAGCTGAAGATTTGCCTTGAAGTCCAGGGTGGTAACTTTATTCATTATGTTGGTAGGATGAAAATATCATCTCGATATACAAAGAATTGTTACTGGGAAAGAAATATCTCATCTATTGCTAGACTTCTTTGACAATACAAGAGTGAATGCATGCTAGGAGAACAGCCAGACAAGGATTAAACCCGGGGAATGTAGGTCACAAAATATATTAACTAATCTGTAAGGTCACCAAGAGTAAAATAGACATGAAAATAGAATTTAGCCAAGTACAATATGTTTTTGGAAAGCAGAATTGGGTAGAAAGAGGTCAGACATTGTGAAAACTGCCCTGAAATATAAAATCCCTAGTGTTAAATGGCAGTTGTTGCAGATCAACTTCTGTTTCAGTCTAACGCCCCCATTCTCTTTAGTGCCCCATTCTCCCTCCTGTGGTCTTGCTGTAATCGCTTTTCTGCTTTCTTCTGTACTCAAACCCACCATCAAAGGATCGGCTAGCCCAGCTGTCTGTATTGTGCAGACGAGGCCACTCTGTTCCCTAGGAGCTGAAGATAGGGGCACAGTATGTGAAGAGGATGGGTGTGTTTGATTTACGGAACATGTCTCCGAAAGTCTGAGATAGTGTCTGTCCTGTCCAGGGGACGAGGAGAAACCGGCAGCCCTTATCTTGCTGAACCATCTGAAAGATACCATGTCCATTCCTCCTCTTAAGAATTCAAGCTATTCCCCAGCAAGGCAAATTCCTACCGATTTGATCTTTATCTGAGACATACCAGGCCTGGAGGCCCAAACTCTACCTATAATTAGGTGAATGGCCTTGGTCAATTCTAGACCTTTCTCAGAAACAGTCTCTGCTCCATAAAGATGAGAAAGAGCTTTACTATTGCCTCCTTAGCTTTGTGGGTGCTGGGACCTCCCTTAGACACAGACACTGCAAAACAATGTGACTAGTCTAAAACAGCCAGAGTTAGAGTCTAGCAGAGATTCCTGGTTACATTTTCACTCTCATTAATTTTTACCCAGTGACTGGAACAGCTCTTAGATCCCTGACAGGATCTTGCAGGTTCTCATTGAATACAAAATTGAGTGAAGAATCCTGAATCAAAGGCCAAAGTTTAGAACTCAGTAACCATCATTGAGCAAAAGTAACAGTTCCTAAATATAGAAAGATTGAACCTAAGTAAAACCATGTTTATTGGGTGAAAGGAAAAAAAGGACCTTTTTTTTTTTTAAATAAAAAAAATATGTAATCTGTTTATTGGTTTTTTGAGAGGCCTCTCCCTGCCAGGCTCCTGCTCTTCATGAGCTGGTCTAATGAGCTGCCTTCTATATATCCTGAAGTTTCTCAGCCTTCCCTTCAAATGCTTGTTACTCAGTTTTCTTCAAGGTGAGATGTAACCTGCTAACTCCAAAATCCAGATCTCTTGACCACCAGCTTCTGGTGAACAACCCATCCAGTTTCTCAGCATGCACACTCCAGATTTTTCCAGCCTTCACTGACTATTGACAGAGTCCCTTCAAACCTTTCAGACTTACTTGTTCTGGGGTCTTTCCTGTGTTTTTCTTTGACCTTCTTTCTTTTTATGCCTCTTAATTATTTGAGACCTCTGCAGTGAGTCCCATCCTCTGGGCTATCTTTCCCTATACATTCTTCTAGACTCCTGACTAAGTTACATGGTTCCTCTGAAAGCTCTGATTTTTTTTTTCTGTGAAAGCTTGTCATTTTCCAGCCTCGCTGCTCCAAGCATCCTGTGGAATATCCAACATATATCTATATATCTACTGGCACATAGTAAGAAAGACAATGCCTTAAAAATAATGACAGGGGTAGATAGAATGATACTGAGGTTTCAGGAAGGGTGCATGAGTTTTCTTAAACATTCCTGTAAGAAAATCCTTTAAATCAGTGGTTCTCAAATTTCCTAATGCTGCAACCCTTTAATACAGTCCTCATATTGTGGTGACCCCCAACCATAAAATTA